TTCTTTATTCCTTTCTTATTTCAATTATATGCTTCAACTAGAGGGGCATTGTGGTGGGTCACCAAAAATGCCCACCAGCTGCGTAGCATACAGTTGGTCAATGGTGCAATTGCATTGGTTGTTGTTGTGATTTGCCTTGAGATTAGAGTTGTGTTTCTTTCGTTTGGGAGGTACATTCAGGTACCACCACCAATAAATTATCTTCTTGTGACCACTACCATGCTTGGAGGGGCTGCTGGAGCTGGTGCTTATGCGCTGGGTATGATATCCGATGCATTTAGCTCTTTGGCCTTCACTTGTTTGGCTGTTGTTGTCAGTGCTGCAGGGGCGATTGTGGTTGGATTTCCAATACTGGTATGTTTGTTTCTTTCTTTGCCTATTTGAAATGAATATACTTGATGACTGTTCTGTACCCAATCATGAGATATGGTAATTATTTTGTGTTTTTATTTCAGTGTCTCTTTGTCATTGCTAGGGTATCTTTCTTGCCTTGTTTTTCCCACTGGCCCATGTTTCCTTCTGTATGTCTCCTAAAATGTACATAGACTAGCGAACGAAGTTGAAAAATTACATAGTTTTTGAAAATTTAAGCTACTACACTGAGTTTACACTTGCTTGTAGAAGTCAAGGAACTGTTTTGGAGAACTTTATCTCTGCATGAGAAGATAATATAGTTAAAACTCAGTAAATTCATTCTACTGGAATTTGGCTAAATGCTTATTTTAGGATTTAATGCTTGCCAAATTTTTTGTTTCAGCATTCAACCTATTATTTCATTCAAATTAGTGTGCAACCTTTTCAATTTTATCCATTAATGAAAATTGATGATAAGAGATACAATCAATAGAATTAAGGGATTCAAAGTTGCATTTGATAAAGATTTCCTTCATGTAGTAACTATTAGTTTTATTAATTGTATTTGCTAACTTTGGTCATTGATTTTCCTTAAATGGATAAAGTTTAAAGGTTACATCTTAATCTGAACAAAATAATAAGTTGAATCTTAAAATGAAACCTTTGACAATGTTGGATCCTAAAATAAGCCATGTAGGCCTGGATTTTTTAGGAATTTTGTATAGTGCATAAATAAAATATATATCCTCTGCATATACTTGTGTTTTCTGTGAAAGCACATGTAAATTAATACTATTGGTCAAATTTAGAAAAAACCTACTAAATTGGGACTAGCCATCAGTATCAACAGTGAATGTCAATCTACGGTAGTGATTTTACCCATTTGGTTAGCTACAGAGCAAATTAGCTACTAACATTGTTGCTAGCTGCTAAAAGGCAGGATTCCTCAAACCTATGGTGCAAAGTTTGTGTAACAGCGTTGCTAACTAAGCCATATAGAATGAAAAGGAACTGATTGCCACATTTGATTTCATATTGTATAATATCCACATGTAGAATTAGCAGTATCAGTGTTTTTCATGCCTAGGGTTGTCAGGTGGTTGAGTAAGCTATTCATTGTAGATCATGCCTATGCTTCTTTTGACAATGTTCTCAACTGGCTTGCCTGTTAAATTTCTGGGAGACGCAGCAAATGTAGATAAAGCCTAAAGAGGACTCTCAAGGGTTGTTGGCAACAACATGTAATTGAGGAAGAAGATTGTTGACTTCCTAGGACATCTTTGGTCTCTGGAATGTACCTGGTATCATTCATCAAGTATCTGTGGGGCCTTTTTTTTTGAACCATAGGTTCATCTAGCATGTTTAGTGATGTGAAAGCAAGACCAACCAAATTTTTTATTGTTTTATCTGTGTTTTCTGTTAAATTAGGTTAAATGTGCCATATAATGTTGCATGTTGAGTTTTATTTAAATGTTTGGAAGTTTTAGTAGTATTTGTGCATTATTTTGCAGTTCATTCCATTCCCTTCAGTTGCTGGCTTTTATTTGGCTCGTTTCTTTACAAAGAAGAGCCTTCCATCGTATTTTGCCTTTGTTGTGCTTGGGAGCTTGATGGTCATGTGGTTTGTGCTGCATAATTTCTGGGATCTAAATATATGGTTGGCAGGCATGTCTCTGAAATCCTTTTGTAAACTTATTGTTGCGGATGTTGTCCTAGGCATGGCTGTTCCAGGTTTAGCCCTTCTTCCGTCAAAACTTCAATTTTTGACTGAAGTTGGTTTGATTGGCCATGCATTGCTGCTATGCTATATTGAGAATCGGTTTTTCAGTTACTCGAGCATATACTATTATGGATTGGATGATGATGTAATGTATCCAAGCTACATGGTCATCCTGACAACATTGGTTGGCTTTGCACTTGTGCGAAGACTATCCGTGGATAACCGAATTGGACCCAAGGCAGTTTGGATTTTGACTTGCCTGTATTCCTCGAAGCTGGCTATGTTGTTTATTACATCAAAGTCTGTTGTGTGGGTGTCAGCTGTCCTTTTATTGGCTATTTCACCTCCATTGCTTCTTTACAGGTAGACTCTCTCTCTCTCTCTCTCTCTCTCTCTCTCTGTGTGTAAAATTCAGATGACAGCGATGTTGTTTTTTGTTCATTTTTTAAACTTTGAAGGGATAAGTCACGAACTGCATCAAAGATGAAAGTCTGGCAAGGCTATGCACATGGTGCTGTGGTTGCATTATCAGTTTGGTTTTGCCGTGAAACAATTTTTGAAGCATTACAATGGTGGAATGGTAGACCTCCATCCGATGGCTTACTTCTGGGCTTTTGCATTCTTTTGACAGGATTGGCTTGTATACCTATAGTTGCTCTGCACTTCTCTCATGTCATGGTATGAATACCTTTTCTGTTTCTTTCCCATCTATCGTTTTAAGTTATTGTTTGTGATGAAATATCCCTTTTTAAGTAATTGTCCATCAAAACAATCATGTTTCATTTTAATCAGAAAAGGAGTTGTTTAACAACTTGGTAATGCTTCCAATACTTCTTCTCCTCCTAAAGCCCTAAAAGAACAAGCTTCTAATTAATAACTGAGCAGGGAAATCAAGCTATTTGACGCATGGTTGTTGGGCCGGATAACATGGTTGCTGTCGAGCTTAGCAGATTCATGACAATAAATTTGAAATGATGGTTGTTTTGTGCTTCGAATGTATGGAAATAACGTTTCACACTTTTTTCATGTAAAATGTTAGCATATTGATTATACACTCTCCTTCTCTTGCTTATGCAGTCTGCAAAGAGATGCCTTGTACTGGTGGTGGCAACAGGTCTCCTGTTTATCCTAATGCAGCCACCAATTCCATTATCATGGACTTACCGATCTGACCTAATCAAAGCTGCACGCCAATCTGCTGATGATATTTCCATATATGGCTTCATGGCATCAAAACCTACTTGGCCCTCTTGGCTACTTATATCAGCAATTCTTCTCACTTTAGCTGCTGTGACATCCATCATACCCATTAAGTACATTGTAGAGTTGAGGGCATTTTACTCTATTGCAATGGGTATAGCTCTTGGTGTTTACATATCTGCTGAATTTTTCCTTCAGGCTGCTGTCCTTCATGCCCTCATCATTGTAACAATGGTTTGTGCATCTGTTTTTGTGATATTCACCCATTTTCCATCTGCCTCCAGCACAAAGCTCCTACCATGGGTGTTTGCCCTTCTTGTGGCTCTATTTCCAGTGACTTACCTGTTAGAAGGTCAAGTGAGAATTAAAAGCTTCCTTGGAGATAATGAATTTGGGGAAATAGGAGAGGAAGACAGAAAGCTTACAACTCTACTGGCTGTTGAGGGGGCAAGGACATCTCTTCTTGGTCTGTATGCTGCAATCTTTATGCTTATAGCTCTGGAAATAAAATACGAACTGGCTTCTCTTATATGGGAAAAGACTCTTGAGCGGGGTTCAGTTAGACATAATCAATCTGGTCAAAGCAATTCTGTGGGTTTCCCTCCACGAACGAGGTTCATGCAACAACGCCGTGCGACTGCTGTGCCAACCTTCACAATTAAAAAGATGGCTGCTGAAGGGGCATGGATGCCTGCAGTTGGTAATGTTGCTACAGTGATGTGCTTTGCTATATGCCTGATCCTAAATGTTAATATCACCGGTGGATCAAATCAGGCAATATTCTTCCTGGCTCCTATTTTACTGCTGCTCAACCAGGACTCGGATTTTGTTGCTGGGTTTGGGGACAAGCAGAGGTATTTCCCTGTTACGGTAGCCATATCAGTCTATTTGGTCTTGACCACCCTATATGCATATGGGAAGATGTCTGGCATGGAAATGCAGGTGGGGGCATCGAAATTGGGGGTCCTGGCTGGTTCTTTGCAGTCAAGAATCTAGCCCTCCTGATCTTTACATTCCCAGCCACATCCTGTTCAACCGGTTTGTGTGGAGTTACACAAAGCGGACGGACTCAACACCGCTGCTAACATTGCCCCTCAATCTGCCTTCCATCATTATAACGGATTTGATTAAGATAAGGGTTTTGGGGTTGTTAGGAATTATTTATTCCCTGGCCCAGTATATAATATCTAGACAGCAATATATCTCTGGATTGAAATATATTTAGACAAATAGATGTTGTGTACAATATGTTTTGGCAATTTTCAAGTGAGATGTTAAAGTTCAGGTTGGCTTTCACCCAGGTGGTCTTTCCCTTCATATGGGCTTTTTCTATGCTCCTGAATTTCAGAATTATTCGGGTGACATTTGAGTTTTTGCGGAAAATAATCGACTCATTAAAGTAACTTGATTTAACCTTGTAACAAAAATATTATATTACTGCTCCCTTACTCTCTTTGTGTGAAGCAGAGTTGAGGTCTTGAAGATGGTCTCCTTTATTTTCCTGCATAGGTTTTCAGCATCCTAATTACTAATGAGTTCTTGTGACTTCTGTTTGGTTGCCATGAACATGATTAGCTTCTCAGCTGTAATTCACAGGCTTATTGTGCAATCAAAGGACAAGGGCCAATGAAAATAGAACGTGTACAAGACCTCAGTGGTCCGTCACGCTTCAAAAGAACAGTCACTCGCCTTTGCACGGAAGGCTGAATGATTTTAGCATTACTAATCACCACGCATCCCACGCGTCCTCCTGAGAAGCAAAAGCAACAAAGATGGCCTCTCTGACAAACCCACACCCAGGGTTACCCTCTTCCTCTTTCTCATCTTCACTTGTTCACGATTCTGCAAATCCACACGGGAGCAAGACCCAATCCCAACCCCATGGCCCCACCAATTCCACTCCATCCTGGTCATGAACTACAGCGGCATCCTACAGGTGATCGACCTCTGGTACGACTGGCCCAACGGAAGAAACTTCAACATCATTCAGCACCAGCTTGGTAATGTCCTCTATGACCTTGAATGGAACAACGGCACTTCTTTTCTTTACACCCTTGATTCCTCCAAAGAGTGCAGTAGTGCCCAGCTTGAGGTTGGGATTCTACGGCCCAACTGGCTAGATGGAGCTAAGTATCTGGGTCAGCAGCACGTGGATGGATTCCTCTGCAATGTGTGGGAGAAGGTGGACTTTATCTGGTACTATGAGGATGTTATCACCAAGAGGCCTGTTCACTGGGTCTTCTACACCGGTAACTACTAACTACTAGTTTTATGATGGATTTCGTTCTGCAATTAAATTAACTGTTTCACCTGTTGTTAATAATCTGTTCCTCATAATCTATCCATCAATTTGGGTTGATAAATGTAAAAAAAAAAAAAAAAAATACTAATACTGTAGGGAGGACTGCGCATGTGATGACATTTGAAGTAGGAGCAGCTCTTGAGGATGCTAAGTGGCAAGCCCCCGTTTACTGCTTTGACAAGAACGATTCGCTCAGCAGCATTCCCGTGGAAACAATGGTGGATGGGGTTCTCAAAGGTTCTGCTGTGCTCTGAATTTTCATGAAGATGTTTGTGATAATAAAGTTTTGGAACTCCTATTATGCTTTTTATTGCTACCTAATGGTCTGAAAGTATCATTCCACGCTTCTCTCTAATTGTTTCCTCTAAATGCATCTTTAAGATCCGGTTTGAGTTTCAGACTCTTGAGTGATGAGCAATCCCTCTACCTTCTATTGGCATGTCGTCACTGAATACTGTTACTCTCTTGACGTTTCGCTTTCTGATTTTCCTTTTTACCAAGTCTTTTGGTTTTTTCCCTACGGCAAGACCGTGAGAGGCAAATTAAGACTCAATTCTAGTAAGTCACCTTAATCCCTTGAAAGTTGAACAATATCTGTTTAGGCCCACACGGTATTGAATTGAAATTGTCCACATAACACAAAAAAGGGCTGGCACACGGGGGTCACCTTAGTAGCTAGCTCACCAGAAATAAGTATCACTTGTGTCAATTTGAAAAAGGAAAAAGATTTACGAGTTTCTGATGACCAAATGGGCAAGTTATTGATAATACAAGTGGGCAAAGAGAGTGTGTGACATTAATTTGTAAAATTTGCTGGCAGAAGCAAGGATACTCAAACACAAAACCCCCAACAGCCAAAATAATTTAATGTCCTTTTATATATGTACCCCGTTTTATTACCTTTTTTTTTTTTAAAATAAAAAATAAAAAATTATTTTAAGGTTTTGCACCTACAACATGACCCACTCCACTGAAGCATAAAATTCAAGGGGTCTTTGGCCCCCCTTCCTCCTTTTCTATCCTAATTTTTGGGGCTATTTTACTCAAAGATTAATTTAATTCATTAAAAAACAACAGGGCACTTGCTGTCGGCAATTAACCCAAATCCAAAAATTAATCATGATTCACAGGAATAAAAAACATACTAATAATAGACTTACTGGACAGGCTTAACACTATTATCCCATCCCATCCCAACAATGATGAGCCTTCACTCACCAAATCCATTTCATTGCATTTGCTCCCATCCGTCAACTCTGCAATTAAAAGCTCCGCTTTCCCTCTCCGCGGTTTTCGCCTAACAACGAAAAATCCTTTTTATCTTTGTCTTCCGCCCGAGGCGCACGTAGCTTCTCCTAGGATCTATTAAAAACACAAACTTCCCCTGTTCTCTCTCTCTTTGTTTCGTCTTACAGGAACCCTAGATTTCCGGCTGCGATCGTGAAAATGTTGGTCTTATAGTGGATGATGAGTAAGTTTTATTTTGTTACATTCTGAATTTCCTTTTTTTTTTTCTTTTTAAATGTTTCTGTTGAAAATGGTTACTGAATTAGCTTTACTTTGCTGCTTATTAGTTTAGAAAATAAGCTTGTGAATTGCCCCTTTTTTTTGGCTTGCTGTTAAGTACAGTTGTTGACTCTGAACTTGCAAATTTCTTGGAAGGTTCAAGGAATGAGTTAATTTTATTGCAGGAGATTGTAATTCCTTCGTGGCATTTTATTTCTATAATAAAAAAGGATCAATGCTGATTGTTTGAGCTGTTTTATCAGCATTTTTATGCAAAAATTTTCCACTGTCCGTACTGTTGGTCATTACAAGAAAAAAGGGAAATCTTTGCTGTGAACTTTTGCTTCTTTCTTTTGTTTTTTTTTTTTTAATTTGCATATGAAGGAAAAGCAATGTCCAATGTGTTTGCTTTAACCTGTAAAATTATATATTGTGAGGCAACTCATCGTTGAAGAGAAACTTCTACAGTTATGGCAAAAGAAATTGGAGCATTTTTAGGATTCCTTTATTACGAAAAAACCCAATTGCAGTGCATCCATCGAGCTCCTAGTGAAGGAGGGATCTTGTCTTTTTCCTGCTGCTTAACGTTAGCCTACTTTTTTTTTGGTTGGTCATTATCATGAATCAGGTTTCTTTTTCTCAGAAAATTTGAACTTCGGGATTCAGTCAAAACACCGAAGAACTGGGCGGCTTTGGTGACAAAAGAATTAGCCAGGTCCTTATTTCTTCCATTTATGTTGTCAAATTTACTTTGCTGTCACTACATTGTTGTAAAAAAATTTCCTGACTCATGTTCATAATTGTCTTTGTTCTCAATTCCATTGGTTTTGTCTTGCATTTGGAAGCTTAACATTTTATATATATGTATAAAAATTTTCCCAGCAAGCTTCAAGAGCTCTTCCAGATTTGAGTACTTAGAAATACATACATTGCAAGCATAAATGGGTGCTTTTTGCTGCTGTCCATGTGGTGATGAGTATGAAGAATATGCTTATCCTAGCAATTCAATATATAGGCACTGCATCTGCCTAAGATTCTTCTTCTACCAGCTATTCACTGGGGTATGTCTCTATTATCTTGTGGTTATCTGCAGAAAAGGAATTATTCTTATCAGTTTACTTTCATTTTTATGCTGCCGATTCATTCCTGTAATTTTGTAAACTCTGAAGGTAAGGCATGGAGCATATATCAGTGCCACTTTTGCCAGCTTCTCTGAGCCTCAATTTGCATGAAATTAAAGTAGTTAGGAAAGAAAAAATTTTTATGCTATACACTGCCAGTGAAGTTTTAAACTCCACAAGCAGGGTTAGAGGGTTGCTACATACCCCATTAAGGTATATTTAAACAACAATAATTTTATATGATAAATGAAAAGACATGTCGTAATATTCTAAACCCCCTTGTAGAGTTTTAAAACTCCACTCGTGGTGTGTAGAATGATAGTCCAAGAAAGAAATTTATAGAGTTTATACATACTCTAGTCAGAATTTCTCTGAAATTCAGAACTTCTTTAGATGCCAAATTAGTGATAGAAAGATTGTTTATGTACTTTGTTTTCCTTTAAAGGCAAATGCATTCGTTATGTTGCTTTCGCAATGTCATATAACCGAAGGTATACATGAGTTTAGTTTTGACAAAATAACTTCTGAATTTGCCATTTCTTCTTGCATTTGCAGTATGGTGCAATGTTTCATAGATTGGAAGGGCTGCCTGTATCATCCCAGATCCAAGGAGCTTCTTTGTCATCAACAGCAATTGCTACTGCAGTGCCAGATAATTCAGTCAATGAAACTCATGTTTCAATGTCTAGGCCAGCCCCTTATGATACTGAGCAGAGGTACTCTCGCTTACAGCGTGATGGCTTGGTCTCTAGGCGTGATAAGTCTGTGACTCATTTTCAAGAAGAAACACAACCACTGAGAAGAAATATGAGCAGTTCTGGTGTAGAATCATTGGGTATTGGGAAGAAACGAAATGGAATTGATTCAGAAGAAGACTCTAAGATTGGCCATCCTGAGTCATCAGAGAGGACTTTGGCTACAAAAGTTGCATATGGACCTACTTACATGCAGTCTTCATCTGAAGATGAAGATGTCTGCCCCACTTGTCTTGATGGTAATTTAGCATATTCATCCTTATAAAGAAGAAAGAACTGTGTTTTGTAGTTGTACTGGTATGCTTGTTTTTTTTCAGCGTATGGTAAGAATTTACTAACCAGCAGTGGTATTGAAAAATGAAATTTTTAAGTAATTTTAAGTTATGCTTACATTCATGAGTATTAATTTCCTACAGAATATACCCCTGAAAATCCAAAAATCACTACGCGGTGCTCACACCATTTTCATCTTGGTTGTATTTATGAATGGTTGGAAAGGAGTGAAAGTTGTCCAATATGTGGCAAGGTATGTTCCAAATGACTCAATCTAAAATGCAGATATTCTGCAGTCTCTGTAGTTCAGCCCATTGAGTGTTAAGGGTAAATTTTGTAATCTTGTGATCCAGATTAATTACTAAGATTTTTGATTAGTTTTGCCCATTGACGTGAGAAATAGGAAACAGAAGTTATTTAAACATACCAGTGTTATGTTGACTACCTACTTTCCAAACACTTTGTTTAGCCACTCCCTTTCCTTGGATCGATAATTTATGACCAGATATTTTTTTTCCAGATTGTTTTTGGGTGCATGTGATCTTAAGTTTCATTTTTTTTGTGGTTCAGGAGATGGAGTTCTGTGAAAGTCCTTAAGTCTATTACATCTGATTTCAATGCAATGGAGCAAATACATATAGAGCTGCCGGTAATATCAGTATACGTAAAGCTTTCTTATATTTTATTAAAGAGGCATGACATGTATAGAAGCGATTGTTCTTTATGTCATTAGTTGTACTGCCTGGTTATTTCTTCGTACTCATACTTAAATGTTCATGATGTTTCTTTTTATGTAAAAAAACTAATAATTTGTGTGAAGTTAACTGCTTGTAAACATAATTGTCATGGAATCAACCCAATGACACGTAACAATCAATACCAGCTGCAATTTGTGCCTCAGTTGATGAAATTGCCCATGCTAAATATGCTGATGGTACAAGAAGGATGAGAATTAGTTATGGAATAAAATAAAGAAATTAAACCTGCTCATATTCTTCTGATGGCAGTCATTTATGTTCACTTTCACATGAAGAGTATGGATGATTTTTGCAAGTCCAGGCCATGTCAAAATATAGTTCATAAGCACACTATATTTTTTTGGTCGTAGGATAGGATGTAAGACGTAACTATTTCTTCTATGTCTAAGCACTATGCTGCAAGTTACTAATTCTGTGGTTGTAAATCATTACTGTTGCAAGTTTTAAATTTGAATACCTGTCTCAGATAGGATTATGTTCATAAAACTTCATTGTTCCAAGAGTTTCCCTTCCCTTCCCTTCCCTTCCCTTCCATGCCAGAATATCCAGTTGCTAAGTGGATGTTTACAGACCAGATCAATGGTATGGGCTCCGTGTTTTCTTTAGTGTTAAACTGATTGAATTACAAGGATAATTTGAAGACTTTGAAACATTCTACATGTGTTCTTTCCAGAGGTTTGGTGCATATAAATCAATGTGTTCAATTAGATATGTGCTGGTTGGGTTGTTATCTATCAAGTCAGGTGGTTCTTTTAACATAATATCAGATTAGGAGATCCAAAATTCGTATTTTCAGTGTTCTTTTCGAATTACCTCCAATAATTGTGCAGCTCATTTCATCTGGAATCTGAGGAAGCTGTTATTTCCATGATGAGTATCTCAGTGGTCTACCCATTAAATATATGCGTAATACGACCTACTATAGTGGTCCCTTTTTCATCCACTTGTGCATAAGTTTGGATTACTTAATCCAAGGCATTTGTGATAGTGGAGGACTTCAATTTAGCATATTTAGTAGCAACTTGGAAGGAAAATATGACCTCCAACCACCTTGATAATAATCCAGGGCATTTGTGATAGTATAGGACTTCAATGTAGCGTATTTAGTAGCAACTTGGAAGGAAAATGTGACCTCCAACCACCTCGATAACATCTTTCAATGCTGTGTCTTTACAACATAGGACCGAGAAATTGGACAATACTTTTGACTTTGTCCAACTGCAATTGGTAGGATGGGTCGTAAGGCACCATCATTTAAGAGTTGGAGAAGCTGGGTACAGCAGCCTGCACAGCTGGCGCCGGGCTGACACCCCTGAAAGGCCCATGCATCCAACCAACCTTGGTAAAGATAAGCAAATGGCGCCATCAGTTCCGACTTGGTATTTAATTCTGAGACTCTTCATTGCGTATCAGATCAGGAATTCGAGTATATTTTTTCCCTGATCGTTAAGACATTATAATTTTGAAGAAACAGCTTAAGTACCAGATCATTCATGCTGTATCATATACAATTGATAAGGATCAGAAACTTGAAGCAGAATAGAACTGTGGAACTTGTGTTTTTAGGGCATTTGCTCCATTGCAAAAACGACCCCGTCATCGAACTAGAAAACATTACAGAGGAGGATTATCAAATAAAGGGAAATTAACACGTGTGCAGCCAAAGACTTGTTTTCTATTTAGCTATTCTCAGCTGGGATCTTCTGTTTGGTTTCCCTAACCTCCAAAGCCTGCTCTGTCCTGTACTTGTACCTATTCGCTGAGTACAGGAATATGCAGAAATTAATTACAGAAAGAACTGTAAGCAGCCAGTAAAAGTAATCAAATTTTCCGGTGTTTATATTCTGAGATAGCCACGACTGCTGCCTATTCTCTGGGTTCCTTGTTATAGATTTGATGATACTGTTTATTATACTGGCAACGAAACAACCCAAGCCACCAGCTAGAGCAGCATATGCAGAGCCTATGCTCTTCATTGCATCTGGAGCTTCCTCATAAAGGAATTCCAGTAGGCCTACTAAGGAAAATACTTCAGCTATACCAATCAGGCAGTATTGGATCAGCAACCAGTACGCACTTAGATCCGGCATAGGAGTTAGGAAACTAAATTCGTACCCATGTCTTATGGCGTAGGCTCTTCGAAACCTCTCAAAACCCCCAGCCCACGCCACAGATAAGATCGAAATGAACAGGCCAATGCCTACTCTCTGAAGCTGAGAAGCACCATGAGGATGACCAGTGATACGTCGGGATAGAGGAACAAATACAGAGTAATAGAGACACAGTATAAGAAATATGCTGAGGCCAGGGAATACAGGCATGCATGTTACTGGGAGTTTCAGTTTACCGATGCGGGTATTCAAAGTATATGCCTGCTGTATCGAGAGAGTTAAAAATTCTATCAATACAGCATTGAGCATTATCGTGCAAGCTGGTACAGGTATAAGTTTAATGAGTATCTTCACTTCCTCAACTTGAGTCACTGTGCAAAGCCTCCAGGGACTTGGATTGCTTCCATCTTCCTTCAGTTGGAGAGCTGCCTTGTCCAAGCCCCTGCAACACCACAAAACTTGATAATCAGAGTCACGAATCAAGCTGCTTACTGAGTAGTAGTGATTGATTGTGAGGAACATAAATCAATTTGATCTGAAATTTATCTACCTAACTGAGAAATGGCAATAGAATGAATAAGAGCCCCCTATACCTGAAATCATCAGTGTGAGGTATCTTTCCACTACCCTTTATAGCAGAGTGTCTGCCAGGGAGCTCATAAAGGCCTACGAACTCGCTTCTAGTGAAAGGAACGTTTCGCTTCTTGAATGCAGAAACCAGGACCTGAGCAACTCGAGTCAGGGGGCTGCCTCCCGGCAACCTATGCCTGTATAAAGGAGTACCAGCAAAGAATAACATGTTGGATATGCCCATAGCTATGGCTAATGAACCAAAGGCAGCTCCCCATCCACGCTCTATCTGAATGTAGACTACCAAAGTGAATGCCACAATTGCCCCAGTAGTAACAGAGAGGTAAAAGAAGTTGAAAAATCTATCCAGGAGGGTCTTGTAATCTTTACTTCTTTCATCAAACTGATCAGCCCCAAAAGAAGAGACGCAGGGCCTTATACCTGCGGCTCCAAAAGCAGTTATATAAAGGACGGTATAGAGATAAAGCATCTGCCATGGTTTTGCAGGCTCACAGCTACCTAAAACCAGGGACAGCTGATCACACTGATCTTGATTTGGCACAAACATTTTCATAGTTGCACATAAAGTTATCCCTGTCAAACCCTGTAGGAAACAAGATTCCAAAGAGTGATGAAAAGAAGAAGGAATTTGTTAATAACAATGGGTTGCATAACAATATCTCACCGCAAGGTAGATTGTGGTGAAAATCGCTATTGTCCAATATCGACCAAGATAAGCGTCGGCTAGAAAACCACCAAGGACAGAGGATGCTTGAGATATTCCAAGGAAATTGTTAACTGCATTTGAAGCACTCGAAAAGGGTCTATGCATAACGTAGAACATAAAGGCCACCATGTTAACTGAGAGGCCAAAATAAGCCATTCGTTCTGCCATCTCATTTCCTGGGTGGAAAAAGAGTCAGGTTCACCATGAGATTCTCATGTCCAAAAATCTTTAATTTTTGCCAAAACCCGTGCAACACTTCACGGATACAACAGTATAACACTCAACTCTACAACTTAGCAAACCATAACACTATATGTCATATAAAGAGAAACTTCAATTACCAAATATAAAGAAGGCGGCAATCCATCCACCCGTCTTTGAGAGATCAGCAATAGGCTTCCCATGGATGTTAACCGGCGTTGTTCCCCCAGTAGAACCACGCCCAAAAGCCGTCCGCCTATTGTCAGACTCAATAAAAAACACTCCCAGTTTCTTTCTGTGAACAGACTCTGAAATTCCATCCAAAATAGCTGGTGTCTCACGCAGATCTTCAGACGACTTGATTTCTCCGGTACCCATATCTCTTAACTCCCTGAAAAAATTGAACTGTCATGGCCTATGCATCCCTCAAAGAAGGAGATTTAATTTGCTTGGAAACCATTTCCAACTAAATTCGTGTGCTTAAAACTTTCTACTTCCATACAATTTCTGATTAAAAACCAAAAAGCTAGAGAAGAAAGCTGAGCTTCTATTGGTTTAGGAAATTCGTAACCTTTTGTTAAACCGTTTGAGTTAGAAAAATCTGACAGCTACCGTCTACCGAGCATCCCATGTTCAAAATATAAACGAATGCGAAACGCATGATCTCAAAATTCTTGCGATCAGTTCAATAAATGACCCAAAAGGGAAACAAAAACAGATTGCAATACATACCTCTACTTCCAATTCAGCGTTTCAAGGCCAACTTTTTCACCTACTTCACTCTCACATCACCCAAGAGAAAGTAGTAGTATGAGCTAAGGGAGCTTAAAAGCGAGGCAGAAGAGAATTCATGTTCTTGGGACAGTTAGTGAGTGCAATCAATTTAAATACTCATTAAATGAAAGGAAAAATATAAAACACAATAATAAGGGAGATCCAACCAACTATGATGGCCCATCAGAAAATGGCCGAAATGTAATAAATGGGAATGAGAAAAGCGGAAGCCAATTAGAGAGTGTTAGCGGCGACGCGGCATTAATGGCTGCCAACCAAAGATTTGTACTTGACGTCGGCTCGGCTCCACGTTATTAAATAGTTTTGCCTTCGTTCGTATGCTCAAGGCCTGAAACCATCTGTCTCTTGCAACTAGTCTTGTTGCCACCGGGAAATGGTGGCTTTAAGTTTGTTTGAAAGAAGGTGCGAAATATAGGTGTAAATCAATGACGATGTTTGTCATGGCTTTTAACGTTTTCAAGATTTGAAACCTCTGTTGCTCCCTTTTTGTGGGGTTCTTGTCAATGTCATTGCATCATCACATCAGAGCTTCTACACCTTGTGCTCTTTGCTAGTCTTGCCATTATTCACTACTCACTCTGTTTTTATAAAAGGTAAGAGCAAACGCTTGGTGATGAAACGTGAAAGAGAGATGTGCACACCGCCTGCCCCATTCCT